CTACCCAATCATAAATTTACAACCAAAGAACCAAACTCAACTGAAAGCTGAGCTTTAGGACCTCTGAGTCAGCAAGATCAATAAGACTCTGTTATCATTTCAAAGACTCAGGATTGCTATGAATTGGACTGGACTCAAATTGATGAAGAAGATGCATCTTAGAAATATGGGAATCCAAAGAATTATCACTGTGCTAAACCATTTCTGGATCAAATTGAGTCGTGTTTGTTCAAAAACCCACTAGAAAGAAAGAAAAACCCAATCTTTTTTTTACAAAGAAATTGACAGTAACATCAAAGAAAGAAAGAAATCTTGACACCCAGATATGAATTCTTCAGAACACAAAATTAAACAAAAAAAGAAGAATAAGAAGAAGAAGAAGGATTTGACATGATTGCAGTTTACCGGAACTCACTGCACGGCTTGAACTTGGCTGTTTGTAATGGTGATTCAAGAAACCCTAGCAGTCCAATTGTAAAGATTTTGAGCACTTGGTTACTCTTCATCACTGCTGCTTTTGCTATAAAAGAAGGATTGTTAAAATCTAAATGTAAGTTAAATGAAACAACTAAAATGAAACATTTAAAAGTAACCTGTTGTTTTTCAATGGACAATTACGGTTGTCATGCGTAGTCATTTTGTTGCATGAACGACAACATCGAGTGTGCTTTTGTTTATCTTGACCCTTCTCCACACCACTCTTAATCCTCTTTTTCCTTCCCTTCGTGACTCCAATCGTAGGAGGATGGATTTCAACTGTATAAAGTTTCCAAGTCTTTCCTTTTATCATTTCCAAATGTTGGCCCCATATCAGTGAGTTGATGCTCAAGGGAAGTCGTACTCTCTAAAATCACTTTCAATTTCTCATAATCTCGCCCTGCCAGAATCATGCAGTTGTAAAACTTGCACCAGATATTAGATAAAGTTTGATTCTCTAGCTTCGTTGTTTAAATGTTTCATCAAAATGCACCGTGCCTTCAACAACAGCTCTTTTCTTTGCATATTTTGTCCATCTATCGAAAATATAAACCTTTGGCAGCTCTCTAAACCCTTTCCCATTCAAAACTGATAGAATATGCCTACAAGGGATTCCTTGTGACACAAAAAAATGGCAGGAGCATGTGGCAGCTTCTTCAGTCAGATCAC